TGATCTGTTTCATGTTGCTGCTGATCTGTTTCAATGTTGATGTGTTCATGCGTGCACATCTGCTCACAGACTCATGTTCATGTTTGTGCTGATGTTCAATGTTTTATGTTATGAGTGCTTAGTGTATATTTAGTTGATGTTTTTCTTAGTTCATATCTTAGATGTTATTACTGTTTTTCTTATACATTTTATTGTTGGATGTAACTGGGACCCTGTGTACATAATTTCGCTCCACCACATGTACCACATGAGGTGCGAATGACAATAAAGAAACTCTGACTCTGACTCTGACTTCTCTAACTACTCAGCCACAGCCGTCCTAAGGATCAGGAGACCTGGTGGTGGAATAGTGAAGTGCAGGAAGCTGTTCAAAGAGAGAGGTTAGCCAAGAAGAAATATGACAGAGAGAGGACTGAAGAGAGGAGACAGGAATATAAGGAGATGGGACGCAGAGCAAAGAGGGAGGTAGCTAAGACAAAGCAGAAGGTGTATGATGAGTTGTATGGGAGGTTGGACACCAAAGAGGACGAGAAGGATTTGTACCAACTGGCAAGACAGAGGGATCAGGCTGGAAAGGATGTGCAGCAGGTTAGGTTTGTTAAAGATAGGAATGGTAATGTTCTAACAAGTGAGGAGAGTGTGACGGGAAGATGGAAGGAGTACTTTGAGGAGCTAATGAATGAAGAGAATGAAAGAGAAAGAAGAGTAGAGGTCATAGAAACTGTGGACCAGGAAGTGGGAAAGATTTGTGAGTGTGAAGTCCAGAAAGCTCTGAAAAGAATGAAGAAGGGGAAGGCAGTAGGACCTGATGACCAGTGGGGGTTTGGAAATGTCTTGGAGAGATGGCAGTGAGGTTTTTGACTCAAATATTCAGGTCGTTTTCACACCTAATAGTCTGGTAGGCTTGGTTCATTTGGGGACCAAAAATCAGAACATTTGTTTACATTTCTGCTGGTGCGGTTCGCAGGCAGTTGAACCAACCTGTTCCCCCCTCGCCTGTGGTGGTGCTGCACCAAGAACTACTGAAGGAAACGACACATAAACCTCTGAAGAAGACACTATTGAGCATGCATCAGGCTATCTGAAGAAAACACTTCTTCTTCTGGAAATAAAAACATAAACGGAGTGGCATCAAACTTTAGCCGTTTTGGGATTTCTGTTTTGCCATTTTTCAACAATGGACTCAGCATGAGCAGAAGATGAGGCAGAAGACCATGGAGAATGTTGTTTTTCACACAAGGCAGCTGAGACGGCTCCTGAGGTTTGAGAAGTAGTCCACTTCCTGCTTTTGGAGCGGTCTCCAGTCAGCTTGCATTCATACTGCATTCGAACCGCATTTGAGTTCACTTCAACCAAACCAAGACCTAGGTATTTAGGCAGAGCAGAGTTGGCTTCTTTGGTCCGCATCAGAGTTCGATTGTGCAGTCACACCTCGCCAAACGAACCAGACTTTCTAGGCAAACGGACTAGAGTTGGATTAAAGCGGACTAAACAGGGCTGGTGTGAACGGCATATTTGAGGGTGAGAAAATTCATTTGACCTTTATTTCTACAGGTTAATCCCATTGAGCCTCAGGGACTCATCTACAAGAGAGACCTGATTTAACAAAGAGTGATGACAACAGTGGACAGTCATCAAAATCGTACGAATTGAGAAGAACTAATGAAAGTTTGAAGTTTATCTGATGTCAAACTATCTCATGGATCACACGATGGATGTGAATCTAACTTGCAGAAATTACTCAGTGTCTGTAATGAATAATAAAACTGATGAACTTCTGAAGTCAGCCCAGTTCAACATGGCGCCTTTAGTCAGCTGACTGTAGAAAACACAAACATAAAGTGAACTCTGAAGTTCAGCTCCAGTGAAAGAACCGAGATGTCTTCAAGACTCCACATGTTGACGAGCATCGCTACTGCAACCTGCCACAAACAGCTGGAGTCAGCCTCGTCCGTCTGCTGGAAAAGTATCTTCATCCATCCACCATCCA